AAGTTTTGGAAAGTTTGAATTTTTCCAATATGTTTTGCTAGTTGGTTGTGTATTATAATTCCTACGCCGCCTTGTCTGTTCAAACAAGGTGCCCAGAATTTTTGGTAGTTGAGGAGATTTTTGGATAGTGTTGAGAATTTTGCTTCTTTTAAGTTGAGATATGTTTCAGAGATGCCAAATATGTCAATTTAGTTTTCTGTAATATAATCTGCTAGACTTAGTTGTTTGTAGTCTTCGAGTAGTCCATTGGTATTAAGTGTGTGAATTTTTAGTGATTGTGCTTGTATTTCATTTTCTGGGTGAGTGATAGTTTGAGGTTCATTGACTATAGGGTTGGGATAAGAGTTTGGTTGGAGTAAGATATTAGAGTCGATATATGGCATTTTGAGTATTGTTCGAATTGGTATATTGTAGAATTTGTGGAATTTTTCTGGTGTTAATAGTATATGATTTGGAAGTAGAGAATCATTTGTGCTAGTATATATATGAGATTCTGTTTGTTGTTGGTTAATTGAGATTTTAATTGGTTGTGAGTAGAAGGAGTTTTGTAAGTGTTTTAAAAAGGAACCAAGTGTTTTGTTTTGTGTTAGTAGAGGAAGATTATTAGTTAGTAAAAAATGGTTAAAGCAAGTTATTTCTTTAGCATGGGATGGAGTATTAGAAGCTGAAGAGTAAGAGTGTACTTCTGTAGAATCACTCGCCATATACCCAGTTTTCACAGTTGTGCAAAAGTTCAAAGCCTGTCCTGTATATTGGTTCTGGCTGTCATAAAATTGGTCTTCCACGTAAAATACACAGCTTATTAGAAATTATATTTAAAATTAACTAATCTTTTGAATAAAATATATTTCATATTAAATTTATTATATTTGATTACTAGTTTGATTAGTGGTACTTTGCACTATCTATCTTATTTTTGTAGTTCTGTTGAGTTAGTTTATATTAGAATTATTATTATTTTTATTATTGTTTAAAATTTTGTAATTAAATTTTTTGTTTTTTTTTTGATTTATTTGTTTATTGTAATTATAGTAAAAATTTTTATTAGAATTTTATTTAATTTTTTATAGTTAGTTGTTTATGAGAAATTTATTATTATTAACAGAAGGTAACGTATTTAATTGAAAGTGAATCTTACATATGGTTTGATTAATTAAAACTATATAAATAATTTCATTTTTAATTAATTATATTATATATGGGATTCATTTTAGATTGGATATGTTTTTTTCTGTTCATATTTGTAAATTATTATGTTAGATTTTTTATAAATGGTTAACTGTATATAAAATATAATCATAATTTCAATAATAGGTTTTTTTGGTAGCTTATATTATATTATTTTTACATATTAATATCATTTATTATTTTGTGATTTTTTGATTATATATTTGTTTTTCATAGGAATTATTTGTAATATAATTTATTGGTGATAGATGTTATGTACGTTGAGAGTTTAGAATCATAAGTAAATTTTACTGAGAATTTTTGATGTATTTATTTTGTAATTTTTTTTTATTTGGTATTATCTAAGCTGATTTTTTATTAGTAACTTTTTTATTTATATAATTAGTATTTTAATATTTTTTGGTTAATTTTTTTTAGTTATTATTTTAGTAGAATTGAGGTTTTTATTAACCATATTCACTAATATTGAATTTTACTATGCTGTGTTATGCAGATACTATTGTTAAAATTAAATATGTTTATCAGAATAAAAGTATTAAAAATAATTATAGAGTTTTATAAACTGTTAGTACTTATCTCATTGATCGTGAAGAGAGTGAAATTGAGTTGTTTTTATTTTTACCTATTAATTCTGTTAAGTGTAATTCAGAGACTCAAGCTTTTTTTGAAAGTGATTATTTTTATTCTGTTGGTAGTAAGATCATGTCTAGGTATTATAATAGTACAAAAAAACTGAAGGTATTAGTTTTTATTAGTTATTAAAGGGTTTTTTTCTATGTTTTTAATTTATTTCTTTGTTTAATTTAGATAATAGTTTCTATTTCTACTGGTGTGAGTATTCTTAGTGGAGCTAGAAGTTTGAATAAATGTTTATTGAGGATTTCTCTAGTAGGAGTTTCTCAAAAGTTATCATAGACATTAAGAAATGAAGATAATACTATTTTTAAAGTATTAGTAAATGATTATATCAGGCAAGAATTTAGCTTTTTTGTCAAGATTGTCTTTCTACATCTTAATTTATAGTTTATTAATCTAAAAAATATAATTTGACTACAAAGTTCACTTATTTTTATTATTGAACAGATAGAAGTTATTGCCAATAATTTTTTTGTTTATACGAAGGAGATTAACTATATTAATACATATTTTCCTTCTAAGTCAAATATTTATAATCTTAATTTGAGTAATTTGTCTGAAGGTACTAATTCTACTCAGGCAAAGCTTCTTTCTACTTATCAGAATATCATTAAAGATTCGAAGGATATTTCTGAGATTGAAGTTTCATATTTAATTGTTTCATGTAATATAGTTGATAAACTTCAAACTAGTTCTTCTGTATTAGATAAAAATTTTTCTTTGTAGCATGTGAAGATTAAGTATTCTAATAAGGTTTTGATAACATTAAATATTATGATTTTCAGTTAGATAGGATTTTTGATATTTAAAATATTAGAGATGGTGAGATGGAGAGTATATCAAAAAAGATAAAGGTAAAAAGAGTATTACATATAATAGTAAGAGAGGAAGAGGTAGTATGAGTCAATCTATTTGTAGTAGTTTGAGATTTTGTAATTCTAATAATGATTCTGAAAAAAATAAATATGTTATATTACTATTATATTTTTTTGTTTCATATATTATATTAAGTAGTTTAAGGAATATGTATAGCTTTAGATGTATTAAATTAGTTGCTAAAATATTTATTAAATTTGCATATTTTTAAGTTTACATTCATATATTGCATAATTTTTAATAAAAGTTATATCAGTTCTTATTAGATTTAGTATATGCACATATATATATAAATATATGTATATATAGTGATTTGAACTAAGAAAAATTTCTTAGTTAGGTAATTGAACTGAAATATTTAATATCAACTGATTGTAACTGATTAAGATTATTTCATATTTTACTTTCAGAAGTTCTTGGATCTTTACTTAAATTTTTGTGTTCACTTATTTTCTTTTCATAAGTTTTTGGATCCTTTGCTCCTTCTTGATATTATTTACATCCCATTAACTAATTACTGATACTCAACTAGTTGTATAAATTAACTAATTAAGAATTTACTCAATCGATTACTTAAAATTTATTTAATTTAGATTAGTTAACTGATTATAGCCCAACTGGTTCAAGTCACTATGTACATAGATTCAAAATCTTATTTTGGTTGTATTCACATTTTATTATTAGATTTTAGAGTAAGTATTATAGTTTGATAAAATATTCATTTTATTAAGTTTTGTAGATAATTTTTTTTTCTTTTTTTTTTTATATGAATTGTTTGATTAGTATTTAGATAGTTGTATAATTTGTTTCTGAATAGTATTTGTATATTTTTTAAGTTTAGTAGGAGAATTAAAAATTATGATAGTGTAATTCTTATCTTAGATATGATTATATGAAGTATTTTTATTAATAGTTTTTTGAAATGATTAATATAATAAGTTTGTATTTATTTTAATATATTGTTAATATGTTGAGTTTTTAATTGTTATTCAAGTAATTCTTAATATACAATATTTTTAGTAACAAATTTATTTGATGAACTGTCTTTTTGGAAAGTATTAGTACATAGTTTTGTTGATATACCTGTGTAAATACTATATAAAGTTAGCTATAACTAATACTAGAGTACACAAATTGAGTACTATTTAGTTTAGTGTTAGCTCTTGTGAAGAATTAAATATTGAAAAGTAGGCAAGATGTAGCAGAAATTGGCAATAGCTAATTTTAAAAGGAAAATACCAAATTCAAAATAGGAAAGTTATTTATAGTATATATATAATAGAATGTGTTATAGAATTTTGTACAGTAATTAAGTTGTGACCAATATTTAATATAATAACTCTGCTATTTTTACACAAACTATTATGTACTGAAAGATTTCGTATTATTGTTGCAATATAGCCATGTTTTAATATAAGACAGTGTATAGGCACTCCTGATGAATTGAGTGAGATTAATAATTCAATATTTATCATATATCTTTAAATATTTTGATTTTTATTTATAGCGCAGTTAGTATTAGTATCTGCCAAGTTGTCAGTACTATATAGATTAATAGTATTTCCATCTAGTTGTTGTAAGATTATATTATTATTATTATTTTTTTTAATTTTGACCTTGTGATCAAGGTGAGGTCTTGTTTTTATCTTTATTAATAATTATATAGTTAAGAGTTAACAGTGAACTACTTGGTTATATAT